TTGCAAGTGTAAAGCACACTGGTATCCACGTCAGGCTCATATCTCCATAGTTACGCTCAAGGAGATAAGAGTGAAGCAGGAAGGGACCTGACTTTTCAGACTGAGCATATTTTAAATCATTTCCATTTTTAATTGAATTAAAGAGATGATCCCTAACATAAACACTTATACAAAGCAAATGTTATCTAAAGGAAGATATTATAAAAATTATCTACTGTAAAAACAATCACATGTATTATTCCATTTATATGAAATATTCATATGACACATACATGCAATGACTGATTTCCTTGACCTGGGGATTTGATGAGGATTTGATGATTATTGGTTAAAGAATATGGGGTACCATGATGAGCTACCCCTTCACATTCACTGCTGTGACTATGATAATTAAAAAAAAATAGACTAACAAGTATTGGTGAGGAAGAATAGAAAAATCAAGCAATCATACACATCTGACTAGAACTTAAAATTATGTGACCACTGTAAAATGCTGTTGCTGTTTCTGTTGCTGTTTCTGAAAACTAAACATTTAAGGGAATGGAGAGATGGCTCAATGGTTAAGAGCACTGGCTGCTCTTGAAGAGGACCCAGGTTCAATTCCCAGTATCCACGTGGCAACCTAACAATCCTCTGTAACTCCAGTTCCAGGGGATCTGATGCCCTCTTCTGACCTCCGTGAATATTGCACAACAAGCAATACACCCATACTCATAAAATAAAAATAACAAACTCATTTCTGGATGTATTATCAACCAATTGAAATACTTATGTAAAACCTTGTACACAAATGCTCACAGATGAATTATTCACAGCAGCCAAAATGTAAATAATTCAAATATCTATCAACTGAGGAATAAATGAAGTAGAGCACACTTATACAACAGAATATATGTAAATGAATCATATAGAATGAATATATATATGAGCATATAAAAATGAAACATCGATACATGTCACCACACAGATGAACCTTAGAAATTATTTTGTGTGAATGAAGTCAGACCGTAATAGCCATATGTATATGTATGTTATTGCATTTGTATGATATTTCCACAGTAAGTAAATCCATGAAGATATAAAGTCAATCAGTGACTAGGGGAGAATGAGAGGACTACTCTTTCCAGTCATTGCCAATTATGGTGGATATAGTTAGAAGGCATTTGGTTTTTTCAGGGATGATGGAGATATTCTGTAACTGAATCTATGTTAAAGTTTATGCTATATGAATTTCATCTCAATGAAAATAAATTGCCAAAGGAAAAAGAAATATTTTTCAAGGTTGGAGAAGTAATAAAAACTTCTACAGTTGATTTGCTGATAACTATGAACTTTACAAATATGTTGTCATTAAATTGCATATTAGATGCATTAGATGAGTTCATTGTAAATATATAAATTAAGTGTCAATAAAACTGCTATCCAAAACAAACAAAGGCTTAAAGACTCAGTTGTGTCTGCAGTTTCTCATGGACAAAGCCCAGCAACAACAGCAACAATATAAATCATATATTTTAAAAAAGTTGAAAAAAAGACTTAGAACTTTAAGAAAAAATAACAAACTGAGATAACCAGCAAAGATCTGAATGTTATAGTTTCAGATATATGTACTTTAATGATTTTAATTTTAGATAGAAAATAAAATTGTAATTAGTGTCCTAGAAAAAAAAAAACACAATGAGGGAAATGGATACTAGTAACATTGGAAGAGATGAGTCATTTTTCCCCCAAAGCTGGTAAAAAATAGTGACCTTTAGATTGAAGACATTTTGAAAGGTTAGGCTGGTGGCACCAGAAGCAGAAAGACAGAAAGTTCAAGTCCAGCCTGGGCTATGGAATACATTTAAGTTCAACCCAGGGAATTTAATAAGAACTTGTTTCTCACACACAATGACACACACACACACACACACACACACACACACACACCGTGAAAAAGCATTCTGGGGCTATAATTCGTGGTAGAGCACGGGCCTAGCATGCAGAAGGCTCTGGAAACCCTAAGAAGAATAAATAGAAATGACGTATTAAGGTATAGATCAGTGAAACTGGTGAAATAAAAATGCAAAGAGAAAAGGGGTATGGTAGTGAGTGACGAAGCTGAATTAGAATAAAGTAGAATGACACATAAAATGCCACAGTAAAATCCAGTTCTCTGTATGGTAAATTTAAAAATAATTGGAAGAAAGAAAGAAAAAAGAAAGAAGGAAAGAAAGAAAGAGAAACAACAAGAGAAGGCAGGAAATTTAATTGCCAATGCAACAATATCGAGATGGCACACCCCTCCCATGTGATGCCTTCTAACGCCTGACCATGCTCACCTCCAGTCTTGAATTTCCTGGCCCTTTGCTACAACTGTGAGTCAACTAAATTTGTATTGTTTTAATTTTAAAAATTAAAAAATACAAGGATGTAATCTTTAAAAAAATTTTTTTTAATTTTATGTGTATGTATATATTGCCTGCATGTATGTGAGTGTACCCGTGTGGTACAATGCCATGGAGGTCAGAAGAGGGCTTCGGGTTCCCCTGGAACTGGAGTTAAGGAGGGTTCATAGCCACCATGTGGGTGCTGGGACTTGAACCCAGATCCTTTGCAAGAGCAGGCAGTGCTCTTAACCACTGAGCCATCTCTCCAGTCACACAAGGATGTAATCTTATAAGCAGCCAAGATGGGAAAGTATGCTCCAAATGAGCAGTAGTAAAGTTGAGATACTGGTGTAGGTAAGAACTTTCTGAACAGAACTTCAATTGCACAGTAACTAGCTCCAAGAATCAACAGAAGGACTAAATGAAATTAAAACGTTTTGCACAGCAAAAGAAACTATCAGCAGAGTGAAGGCAGAGTTCATAGAATGGAAGAACATCTTTACCAGCTGTACTTCAGGCAGGGACCAATATCTAGAATTTACAAAGAACTGCAAAAATTAAACACCAAAATCCTAAAATGGCCACTCAACAAATGGTTTAATGAAATGGACAGCTTTCAGAAGAAATACTAATAGCCAATAAGATGTTTTTCTGTTGCTATTACTATATTTTATTTATTTTATTTTATGTTTATGAGTGTTTTGCCTTTGTAAGTACTTCACATGCATGTAGTGCATGAAGGCCAGAAGACAGTATCTGATTCCCTGGAACTGGAGCAACTAACAGTTGTTAACTGCCATGTGGGTGCTGGAAACCCAATCCATGACATCTGCGACTTAACTACTGCTCTTAATTACTGAGCCATTTAGCCAGCCTTCCCCCAGCAATAAATTTTTTTAAAAGTGTTTCCAACCCAACCTAAGGAACATTTGGCAATTGATGGTTGCTGTGAGGGGAAGAGACAGTGTCTTAAGGGGATGGGATTCTTGGTGGGCCCATGGATGAACCCACACTGAAGGACATTTGGGGACACAAATCACACTCTATAAGCCATATCATATATAAGACAGTTCGTTAAACTGAGCTGGGACAGTCGGGGGAGGTGTGCATTGTAGCAGGCCCCTGACTAAAAGACATCCATCTTACCATCCTATGTGACCTGGCCTAGTTATTTTCCAGTTTCCCTGAAATTGCCTACAACCTATAGGGACCAGGAATTCTTAGAAGCTGACACATGTCCGGCCAAGATGAGATAAGCTACTGCCTAACGCTGTATCTGTTTCTGTCCATGCTTGCTTGCTTGCTCTGAGGGGTCAATAATAATTTTAAACTTTTACTGACCTATGCAAATAAGTGCTTGAGTTTGAACCATGATGACTGGCCTCCTTGTGTTCCCACTTTTGAGAAATATCTGAATATATATAAAAAGTCTTTGCAGACTCCCTTTGGAGCTGCTCTCTGTATTCACACTCGGAGTGCAGGAACAGCCTGACGGTTAATAAAATCCTTCCTACCTCAACTTCAATCTTGTGGCTGAATTCTTAGCAGTTATCAGACTATAACACGCATAAGGGAAGGAATCTAAATACCATCAAACTATATTGTAAAAACTGAAAATTTTAAAAAGTGTTCAACATCCATAGTCATTATTAAATTAAAACAACTTTGAGGTACCACCTCACCCTAGTCAGAATGGCTATCATCGACAAATCCGACATCCAGCGTTGGAGAAGATGTGAAATAAGAGGAACCCTTATTCACTGCTGGTGGGAGTATACATTAATACAGCTGTTATGGAAATCAGTTTGCAGAGTCCATAAAAATTAAAGATAGAGGGCTGGGCGTGGTGGTCCTTTAATCCCAGCGCTTGGGAGGCAGAGGTAGGCAAATCTCTGGGAGTTCAAGGCCAGCCTGGTCTACATAGTGAGTTCCAGGACAGCTGGGGCTATAGGGAGACCCTGTCTCAAAAAGACCCCCCCCAAAAAATAACCAAAGAACTCCATATCTTATCTCAGAGACACTTGTACAACCATGTTTATTGCAAGGAAACAGATCAATCAATAGATGGATGGATTATGAGAATGTGGTATAGAGCTAGGCATGGTGGTATGTGCCTCTAGTTCCAGCACTCAGGAGGTAGAGGCAGGTGGATCTTTGTGAGCTCAAGGTCAGCCTGGTCTACATAGTGGGTTCCAGGACAGCTGGGGCTGCAGAGAGACCCCTGTCTCAAAAATACCAAAAAAAAAAAAAAAAAAAAAAAAAAAAAAAAAAAAAAAAAAAAAAAAAAGAAAGAAAGAAAGAAAGAAAGAAAATGTGCTACATACACACTATGGACTGTTATTCAGCTGTGAAGGAAAAAAAATAAAAGCATGGAATTTGCAGAAAAATGGATGGATCAGACAGTCTCACTGGGACCTGGGAATCATTGATTAGGCAAAGCTGGCTGGCCAGTGAGCCCCAGGGATTGCCTTTCTCTACCTCCCCAGTACTGGGATTACAAAGGCCACACAAGTATACCCAGCTTTTTATGTGGATGCTGGGAGTCAAACTTGGGTAAAATGCATAGCAAACAGTTTATCAATTAAGTTATCTCCCCATCCCCCACCCCCCTCAGGTGTCACTTCTACTTACATTCTTCTTTTACTGACAAAGGAACAATCTTCTCTTCAGATCTTAGGGGGTGAGCCATGAACACAACCAGGTGTTGGAGTCCCAAGGACTTCACAGTCTTCAAAGAGATGGTAACTATTTTAGTGACAGTTACTGTGCCATTTGGGTTCTGAGCAAGGTGTTCTTTCGGTGGATACATTAGGACTAATGAAGGGTAAAGGGAGATTTCAGGAGCAGGTTTTCCTGCAGCTGAATACTTAAGACTAAAATTATCTTCTGAATCAGGATTGTATTGGAGTTCTGTTGTTAATTCAGATACAGCTGAGGCAGAAAAAAGAGAAACAAAAGTAAATACAAAAGCAAGTCATACAGAACTCTCTGCTTAAAGTCTGACTTCCCCAATTTTTTACATGATGTTTAAACGCTGAACACATATCTCTCAAGAATACTTCTTAGTATATTTTACAAAACCTTACAATATCTTTTCTGCTATTCCTTGACTACTTCTCTGATCTGAGGGGGATGATTGCTTTAATTATCCCTCAACTTTCATTCAGTCAGAAAATTACATTACATAAACCCCAACACTTTACATTTATAGCACAAGTACTATAACATATTGCTCATTTGAAGAGTGGGAAACCCTCATTTTCTGAGCCTTCACCTCCCCTCATTCTCCTTCTCTACTGTCTCCTTTCCTTTTTCTCTACTCCTTAGTAATACAATCCCAATTCTCTTCATGAGTTTCATCTGTTGGATGAAAGCAAATGTAGTGAAATGTAAAGAAATGAGCCAGGAGAAGATCTTGATTTGGTGCATAATCAGCATTGACTTCCTCCTCTTACTTCTGTATAATAAATGACTTGACCTGGATGATCTCCTTCAAGGACTGAGGAAGGAAGGAGCCCTTGGGATGGCTCTCAGTTTAGTAAGGGCAAGTGTCCCGACCCGCAGGACAGTCAACGTGGGTATCTGGAAGGAGGAGAGGGGACGGAAAGGGACAAGAGGTG